CCCCCCCTCCCCTCAAACATCCCAGGAGCCACTCCCTATAAGGCCACCCCCCCCAAGCAGCAGGGCTGTGTGAGGGTGGGATGGCACAACCCCCTGGGGATGGGGTTGCTTGCCAAGCCCAGCCCTGTGCCCTTCCAACACCCTTTCCCTAGGGTCCCCCTTTCCAGTATCCCCCTCCTCCCCCCCGGGACTGCAGCCCAAGAGTACCTTACCTCCATGAGGAAGGCACCAACGGTGGACTTTCCTATGCTGAACTGGTTGCCCACTGCCCCCTAATTGTCTGGGGGTGGTGAGCTTCTCCGGGAGCATGGCAGGCTGCAGGTGGGTGTCCTGTCATTGGAGGGCAGGGGTAAGCCAGGCGCACAGCTCCATACAGGTGGCCTTCTGCATGTGGAAGTTTTGGAGCCACTGCTGGTCCCACCAGTGGGAACTGGTGTCCAGCATCCAAAATCGTGTCTCCACTGTGGGGTGCGGTTGCACGGGTCTTGCTCCTGCACACAGGAAGAGGGTCTCAATGAGCTTGTGCAGGGCCATGAAGGCAGCCTGCACAAACTGCTGCAGAAACTGTAGCATGGCAGTGTGGGGACATTGTATGCCCAGGGGTAGCTCTGGCTCCATGTCAAGGAGTGTGCTGTGGTGTCCTGAAGCAGGGCAACCAGAGTATACACTGCTGAAGCTTTGCTGTCCCTCAGAGAGGTAGGCAAGCACACAGCTGAAGCAGAGAAACAGCTATGCAGGGGGATCGCTTTAAGTGCATCTCTGTTTGCCTTAGGCAACAGCACTTGGAAGCAATTGCTGACCTCGAGCCCTGCCCAAGCTGGTTCTGGGTGGCAAGCTAGCGTCCAATCAACATGGATGCTATTTTCAAAAAAAGCAGATTGCTTTTTCCTTGAATTTTTGCTGAGCAGATGCTCTTTTGAAAAATGTTTTTCCGAAAGATCTCTTCTGGAAAAGCTCCGGAAAGAAGCTTGCAGTCTAGACATAGCTTCAGTGAGAGCATCTTGTAGCACTAGAACTTCCTGGAGTTGGCTTCTCTTCAGTGGCGCAGCATGTGCTTTTCCTCCCTATAAGGCAGGGGTGGGGAACCTCAGGCCCAGATGCAGCCTCTGGCTTGCTTGGATCTGGTCCCCTAGGAGATCTGGGATCTTCCCACATTGGGGAGCCTGTGCTGGCACTCCAGCCTCCTGCCACCTAGCTACAGGGCTGGAGCACACAAAATCTACTAGCCTGGCCCCCAGGCTCTGGTGTGCAAGGGGAATCTGAGGAGTGCTTTTCCTTCTCAGTCAAGGACTTCTCACTTTGCTTCTCACTTGTGTGAGGCCCCCTGCTGATTTTTCTGTGTCAGTGGGCCGACCCAGAAAAGGTTCCCCACTCCTGTTATAAGGCACCTAATGCCAGTTACTTGGGATATTTATAAACAGGGCTCTCAGAAAATGTTGGGGTTGGTGAGCACAAAAAGTTAGGGACCTCCTAACTGTATAAGGCTATGTCTAGACTGAAGGCTTCTTTTGGAAGAAGCTTTTCTGGAAGAGATCTTCTGGAAAAATGTCTTTCAAAAGAGAGCATCCACACTGCCAAAGCGCATCGAAAAATAAATCTGCTTTTTCGAAAGGTAGTATCCATACTGATTAGATGCTATCTCACATTTAAGTTCTGATTACTATGGAAGGAGTGGCCACTAGGGCACCTGTGCTTTTTCCTTGAGGCCTCTTTTTTCAATCTCCCCCCCTTTTCCCATCTCCCCCACCTTTTTCCGAAAGAGGTCTTGATTAGTTGATTAACCTCTGTTGGAAAAACCCCTCCGTTCTTTCGACTTTCTGTTGAAAGAATGCAATTATAATGTGGATGTAAGTGTAGTTTTAAAACCCTGCCGTGTAGACATACCCTAATTGGCAAACTAAGTGGCAATTTAATTGCATTGTGCTTCTTGTGAAGGGCTTTAGCTGTAATTAAATATTTCAGCCAGCATCTGTCTGAAATAGTACATTTAAGCACCTAGATGTGAGGCACAATCAGACCACATTCTATAGCGTTAATTTTAGGATTAATTTCCATCCACAGAGCTGAGGCTCATAGCGAAATGTAATTTAGCAATTTTTTGACTATCCCTGAAGATGAGGGGTTTTTGCTATATTCCTGGGCAATGTTCCCTTTTTTCTCCCCATCCACGTGCAGGATAAATTGTTCATCGAGGCATGTACAGATGTGCACCACCAGTAGAAATGCATGCTACTAGCTGTTGTGGGATGTGGGTGCTCTGCTAATCAGCTAAGTGGCATCTGAATCTCTTTTGAGGGCTGCCCAAGTGTGCAGCTTAGAGACACTGCTCAAGCAGCTTGTCCCAAAACCTCATTTCCCTTGTATATTCCCAAAAGGTGTATCCTTCAGACAGCCTAAATTGCCAGCCTGCACTTCTGGTTCTTGTTGCTCCCTGGCTGCAAACTAAACTATAGCTTTCATTCTCTGCACCTTTGCTGCTTAGTTCTGTCAAAGTCAGGAAGAATGCACTGTAATCCAATTAACCACACTTTAGCAGGGAAAGCTAGCAAGAGCCAGAAAAGGGAGGGCAAAAAAAGGTGAATGCCATAGCAAAAATACCAAATGCTTGTACTTTAGAAAAGTCCAACTCTTAACTGTGGAATCTGAATTAGGGATACTAAATATTGGTTAGTTGAATAGTTGATTAATCTCATGAATTCTTATCAGTTACTTGACTACGGTTACTTGACTATTCTATAGTCCCCTGGGGTGTGGCCAGCAGCCAGTGCACTCCAGTCCCAGTCCCAAGCAGCCCCGTCACTCCACACTGCTGTCTCTGTAAAAAATCAGCTCCCCCCACGGACCAGCTGCCTGTTGTCCCATGTTGCTGCCTCTGATACACAGGCAACAGTGTGGGGTTGCAGCAACCCCTGTCTGGGGAAGGAGGGAGCTAAGCTCCTGGATCTGGCATGAGCTGGAACTGAGCTGGGCTGCTTGGCTCCTAATACACTTTAAATGCAGAGCTACAGTGTGGGTAGGTCCCAGATTTGGCATAGGCCAGGACTGAGCTGGGCTGCTGGCCAGCCTGCTAAAAAATGTATTGGGGGCAAAAGTTTATAGGTTAATGCTTTAATTGGTTAATTGACTACACTGTTACATGCCTAATCTGAGTGCAGAACTTCTAAAATGAAGTAACTGAGGT